GGAGGGAGGAGTGAGTGAATGAATGAGGGAGGGAGGAGTGAGTGAATGAATGAGGGAGGGAGGAGTGAGTGAATGAATGAGGGAGGGAGGAGTGAATGAATGAATGAGGGAGGGAAGGAGTGAGTGAATGAGTGAATGAGGTAGGGAGGAGTGAGTGAATGAATGAGGGCAGGAGGAGTGAGTGAATGAATGAGGGAGGGAGGAGTGAGTGACTGAATGAATGAGGGTGGAATGAGTGAATGAATGAGGGAGGGAAGGAGTGAGTGAATGAGTGAATGAGGGAGGGAAGGAGTGAGTGAATGAGTGAATGAGGTAGGGAGGAGTGAGTGAATGAATGAGGAAGGGAGGGAGGAGTGAATGAATGAGGGAGGGAGTGAATGAATGAGGGAGGGAGGAGTGAGTAAATGAATGAGGGAGGGAGGAGGGAGTGAATGAATGAGGGAGGGAGGAGGGAGTGAATGAATGAGGGAGGAAGGAGTGAATGAATGAATGAGGGAGGGGTGAGTGAGTGAATGAGTGAATTCATGAGGGAGGGAGTGAAAGAGTGAATGTGAGTGAATGAGTACTGAGTGAGTGAGTTACGAGTGTGTCCGTGAGGGGAGTGAGTGTGTGGGTTGTGACATCAGTGTCACAGCATTCAGAGGCCGTGCAACCCAGGTTTACTGAAAAGACGTTTCTCCCGAAAGTACCTGCCACTCCTTTGGCATTTGAAGGAAGGAGTCATTGGATGAGAGCCTGATAAACCTCTTCCTGGAAGCTCATCTGTGCCCCTTCCCCGTGTCCCCACCACAGCCAACATGGAGGGCATCGTCACCATCATGGGCCTGAAGCCAGAGACCACGTATGCCGTGCGCTTGGCAGCCCTCAACGGCAAGGGGCTGGGCGAGATCAGCGTGGCCTCCGAGTTCAAGACGCAGCCAGTCCGTAAGTAGAGCGAGCTGCCCTGCCCGCTCCGCATGCCACTCTCTCCCCTGGAGCTGACTTGACACATGGTTCAGATACAGCTTTTTGATTTCAGATCCCCACACCCTAGTGCTTGGGCTCCTGGCCCTCAGCCCCCATGCTCAGTCTCTCTGGAGGGTTGGTGACGTGTCCTAGTAGCTGATGCAGCTCGTTAGAGGAACAACCAGGGAGAAAAGCCACCACTGAGTCATGAAAGGAAACACAGAGGAAAACAGTGGTGTCTTTTGCAGGGACAATGGGTAGATGTGCCTT